TTTGTCTRGAGATACAACCTGATGCTCATGCTGGCTCCTTGGGCTGGCTGCCACACTGGCTCAGGGGCTGCTTCCCAGCTCAGGAATGTTTTCTGGCTTACAAGAGAGCTGGAGAAGGACTTTGGACAAGGGCCTGGAGGGACACAAAAAGGGGGAATGGCTTCCTACTGCCAGAGGGCAGGGTTAGATGGGATATTGCAAAGAAATTTTCCCTTGTGAGGGTCGTGAGGCCCTGGCACAGGTGCCCAGAGCAGCTGTGGCTGCCCCTGGATCCCTGGGAAGTGTCCAATGCCAGGTTGGATGGGGCTTGGAGCACCCTGGGACAGTGGTAGGTGTCCTTGCCCATGTCAGGGGGTGGAACAAGATGAGCATTAAGGTCCCTCCCAACCCAAACCATTCCATGATTTGCTGAATTGCCTTCCCCCACTCCCCCTYAATTTTAATTTGTTTTTACCAGCAGTCCCTTACAGGCAGTACCAGCTGTCTCTTTTGATGGATGCATTTAATTTCCAGCCTTTCTGCCTGTATTTTGATTGTAGCACATGTGTAGARGCTTTAATTTCCACAGCTCCTGCCTTGGCATTCTTGTTTCTGTCTTTGCCTGTAAGGCATTGACCGGGGGAGTCTGTGTTTAGGGATCTGATGGAACAGGGAATCATAATGGYCTGGTTACAGTCCACCTCCCCTTATTGTCCAAATGGGCTGCTCAGGTGTGTCACATTGTCTTGTTCTCAACGGAGAGAGTGGAAAATGAGATACAGGTGTCCTTTTGGGTGTGTGTAACTTGTCAGGATTTCATCCCAGGATGGTTTGARYTGAAAGGGACCTTAAAGCTCATCCAGTTCTATCCCCATGCYGTCAGCAGGGAYGCCTTCCACTAGACCTGGCTGGGAGTGAGTGGCAAACTGCAGGTCTCTGGTGTGCTGGATTTCTGGGGGAGTCATGCTGTTGCAGCCTTCAGCCGAGGAACTTATGTGGCATTTATATCTTCACATATTTTTAGTTACAGTCACATTATATATCCTTATAAACATTTTAATAAARTGTAGCTTTTAGTAAAGATGCAGCAGCAGTTCTGATCAGAGAAAGGAGTCCGCTGGTTATTCAGAATTGTTTTKACTTCTCTAGGGCATCATATAGCATCAAATACTTACAATTTATAAATAAATATCTGTGTTTATAGACCTGTCTTATAAAGAAAACTTCATTATTAGATCTTATGTGCGCTGCCCAGRCTCCCCAGGGAATGGTCCCGGCCCCGAGGCTGCCAGAGCTGCAGGAGCGTTTGGACAGCGCTGCCAGGGATGRACAGGGTGGGGTTGTTGGAGTGTCTGTTCAGGGCCAGGACTTAGACTTGATGGTCCTTGTGGGTCCCTTCCTACTCAAGATATTCTGGGATTCTATGATCTTAAATGAGACTTCTGCTGGATTTTTGTAAACTTTTTCAGAAATTCCTTTCCAGTGGACAGAAGCCTCTAATGCCTGTTTTGATAATGAAGGGTCAAGTCAAGCTGCCTCAACTGGTTTTGGAGGAAGTGGAAGAGATACCAGATTGCTCCAAGCCCCATCCAACCTGGCCCTGAACACTTTCAGGGATGGGGCATCCACAGCTTCTCTGGGTAACCTGTGCCAGAGCCTCACCACCTTTATCTCATGGGGATTTTGCTCCTCTGGCTGGTAGAGTTGAAACTTGAGCCCTTTCCTGTGCTGAGGCCTTCCAGGAGGCCCCTGTCCTGCAGGGTGTCAGCTTAGTGGTGGAGAAGGCTGATGTGACTGTGAGTATGGAAAAAACACAAGTTTAGTCTGAGATGGGAATTACTGAATGCTGCTACTGAAGTGTTTATTTCAGAGGCTSTGTAGAAGCTCAGGCATTGGGACGGGGTCACTCAAAGCCATGCACAGACGAGAACAGAATTGAAGGCAGCAGGTCAAGCATGCATGAAGTGCCTGGCAGAGCCCAGGCACAGACTGAAGRCAGGGCAGAAAATTGGGGTTTCATCTCAGTGTTTCCCCTCCAGAGCYGCACATCACATTTCTGAGCACACCCTCGTAAGCCACACCAAATCGGATAAGAATCATTTCAATTAGCTTGTTAAGTGTTGAAACTCCCCACAGCAGTGCTCCCACAAACCCCAGCACTGCCTCGTGGCTCTATAACCCCCGGAGCTGGAGTTAAATCAGGTTTTGCCAGGCCATCTGCCAGCTTGTTTGAGCCGAGCACAGCCGCGTGCCGTGCACAGAGGAACCAGTGGAAGATTTTTACATTCTCTGCCTAGACAAGTTGATTTTATAAAGCTGATTGCTTTTTATTACTGGTGGGGGCAGAGGGAAGTTTTGMTGGGTTTGTTCTTGCTCACCTCAAGCGTTATTTCTCCCAGAGATCTGTGGTTTCTTGCCGCCRATACCTTTCCTGTGTGTGGATAGTCGGTGTTGATTCCACATTTGGTACGTGTACAGCAGCAGACACTTAAAAGCTGGGAATGAAAGCAGCTTGTGGTAATTACTACAAAATTAAAGATAATCTCCTGCTCTGGAATTGTGACAAATGCAGAAACGAGATTAGTGCAGCAGGAGAGCAGTGGCAGCCGTGCAGGGAGGGCACATTCCCCTGGCCCATGGCTCTCGGCTGTGCTGCTTTCCCAGTGATTCCAGTGCTCAATCTGCAGTAGCATTAGTTCCTTTGGATTTCCCAGTGGTGTGGAAGTGCTGCTTCAGCTTGTGCCCTGGAAGTTCATTAGCCAAATGCTCACTCAGAGTTTCATTTCCCACTCTCAAGGGCCACTGCRTGGTGTTTTGTTCAATAATCACAAAATTCTGGTGGCTTAGGCCAAAGAACTAATTTTTCAGCACAGTTTGAGCTCGCAGTGGTCCTGGGCCATGTGGTGCTGCAGTCTGAGAGCTGGAGGAGTGACGGGGTTCATGTCATTTGTGGTGTGTGTCACCTGCCCACATCAGTGACAACCCCTGGGCTGAGGGGACCCMGCCTGGGTGTGTGACAGAGGGAGCTGCTCTGTACCCCACAGGTTCCTACTCTGCTCACTTCCCTCTGCCTGTTTCCAGCGGGATTGTGTGACACATGGAGGGACATTTCAGTGACTGTTCCTGATGCAGGAGTTGGGCACTGTTTAAAAGAGAATAACGAGAAGTGGCTCTTCTCATGCCACTCTGGCTCTGCCCTGCAGGCTGGGCTATAGGCCGGGGGGTGCTCTGTAGATGGCTCCAAATGCCCTGTGACAAGACCCATTTCTCATCAGGGACTACCCAGTTTGTGGAGATCAGGATGGTGAGACACTTGCAGCACTTCTGAGCCAGAGCAGTTTTATCTCACCTGGGATCACCAAGGAGCTTTTGTTGGGTCTTTTGCTTGTTTGCTCTCCACAGTCTGAAATACTTTCCAAAATGTTACTGAGTCACACACTTTCTGGGTGTTATTGTCATCCCATTATCATGGAATCTTGTAAGGGAAGGGACCTTAAAGCCCATCCAGTGCCACTCCCTGTCATGGGCAGGGTCACCTTCCACTAGACCAGGGTGCTCCAAGCCCCGTCCACTGGACACTTCCAGGGATGGAGCAGCCACAGCTGCTCTGGGCAATCTATGCCAAGACCTCATTGCCCTCACAGGGGAGAATTTCTTTGCAAATCCCATCTAACCCTACCCTCTGTCAGTGGGAAGCCATTCCCCCTTTTTCTGTCCCTCCAGGGCCTTGTTCAAAGTCCTTCTCCAGCTCYCTKGGAGCCCCTTYAGGTRCTGAAGTTATGCCCAACTTCTTGCTCAGGCTCCTTTTGAAACAAGCTCTGGAGCAGCATCCCTGCTTCTTCTTGAGGGGATTGAGCAGGTACCACAAATAAACCATTGAAGTTCCTCCTTCACCAAATAGGGGAGATGCTGGAACAGCACAAGTTGGGTGCTGTGGGGCTTTTGCTGCTCTCCAGCCAGGAGGGACAGAACACATCCACTCCCTCTGGAGCAAACCACCCCCTAATTTGAGTGCAGATGATCTCAAAGCTCCACTCAATGGTCTCTTGCAAAATTAAGCCCTTTCTGAAGGATTATRAGTTGATAAGGATCTGTGCTTGTAGGAACGCTGTAGGATAGGAGCCGGGAGTGGCAGACTTGTACCTGGAGGCAGGCCCCAATAMCCTTGGATTTGTGTTCTGTGCAGGAGACTCTCCCTGAGAGCTGGCCTGTGCACACAGAGGTGCTGGGGCAATGTGGGAAGCTCCTYCTCAGCAGTTCTTGATCCTTCATGGATCCTCTCAGGATCCTCTCCAGCTCGGCTGGAGCTCGTGGTCCCAAGCTCCACACAGGAGCCTGTGGTCACTGCTGTCTGAAATTAAGGAGCTTCTTGCAAACTTGGACTCGGAAAAACTCAAAAAAACAAACTCAGGCTAGGAAATGGGACTTGGTCTCGTGTCAGAGGGTTTGGGCCTGTGTTTCCAGCTCTTTTTATATCTAAAAGCTTGAGGCAAAACCCCTGATTTCCACTGYTGGTAATGGAGCAGCAGTGGCTTCTCCCAAGGCAGTGGTAAAGATAAATGATGCATTCATTTGTGTGATATATATGGACATTGGATTCTATAAATAGATTCAATTATCAATATAGTTTGTCAAGGGCCTTCTGACTGGCTGGAAAGTAGCTTCAGGAGCATCTCTCTGGGCTTCTGAGTGGAGCYGACTCTTCAGCGTTGTGTGGACCCATTGCTTAAAGGGGCAGCAGAGATTTACAAGGACTTTTTTCTGAAGCCTTTAGGAAATATTATTGCTAGGAAAAAAAGTGCATTTTTGTGCTTTGAATATGAAATAGTTCAGGCGACTTCTGTACCGTCGGATTCCTGCGCTAGTGAAGCTGAAAACCAGGCAAAACCACCTGCTCTAAAGGTTGGCTGCCATACTTGAAAAGACAAGKCACTGAGCTGTTTTCTCAGGGWTTTGGGGGTTGGGTTGGGTTTTTATTTGATGTCCCTACTTTTCCTGATACTCTTCCCTTCTCTCTGCAGGTTTGGGCCCAAAGAAGACAGCCATCACTGAGGTGAGATACATAAAACTAGGCTTGACAATCCCATCTTGACAAATGAGAACACAGAGTTCTAGGAAACTGTTCTGCCTGCCTTTTTTGAGCAAAACTGGATTTCAAGATACATATGAGATTACTAAAAATTACTGTCTGTCATTTGCGATAAATAAAATTAGTGGCAGGTGTCCAGGGTCCCTTCACTGGCATCACCACAGCCATGGAAGGGATGTGGAGGAATTTTGCCCCTCACATGGCCAGTTTTGGCTGTGTGATCCATGGTGCCTCTGCATCAGTGACTGAKGGTCCCTCTTCCACACCAGCACCTGGAGGTGCTAACTGGAGAATGTTTGTATTGGGCATCTCCAGGGCTCTGTGTTGGATTTTACCCAGTGGTGGGAGCAAGTCAGAGAGGTTGTGATTTGTTAAGCCCTAAAACAGGGGAGCATCTCCAGGGACTCCTCTTGTAGATATTCCAGGTCACAGGTTCTGAGTCACTGTTACCTTCTGGAGCAAAACTCTTCACAGTTGGTGGCAGGGAATCTAGTAGGAGGCTCTGTGCCTGAAAGCTGTTCCCTGAAACCCACACTCATGGTTTAGGGCATCATGTTCAAATGATTTTTTTTTGGATGAAATTTCCCATTCCCCACCTGGGATGATGARCATTTGTATACACAAACAGCAAAATCTTCCCATAAAATTGCCTGGAATGTGACATTTRATTCCTTTGTACCTACACAGGAATATTCATAGTGGCAAGCTCAACTTTTGTGGCAGCTGGTTGCATCCTTCAATGCACAAATAGGTCCACTTTTTCTTGCCCTGGAAACAGCCAAAAGCAGAGCAAGGGATTGGAAGAGGCTTTTGTCACTGCAGTTCCTAAGATGGCAGTCGCTTCCCCCTGCCGGGGTCTGCTCATCATGTTGGGAGATGATGTTGAGCCATTGGYAAGGCAGGATGTACAGCTTGGGTTTGCAGGGAGCAGGATCCCCCAGGTTCATAGGAGAGGCTGAGCTGTGCTGAAGAGTTCTCAGGAGTAAGGCTGGCTTTGCTAATAAAATAGGATAGGAAATGGGATTTTTGAAGGAGAACTCAGACTGCCCCTTAGTACGAGAAGTACGAGCAGATTGACCAGAAATAGCTACAAGCTCTTGATTAAAAGCTAAAGTACAAAGAACTTCTTAGTCTGAGCAAAATTACCCATTGTCTGCTGGAACCAGCAATTCGGAGCTGGATCTGTGCAGCACTCGAGAGGGACAGGGTTAGAACAGTGTCACTTGGGAAGTGACCTTGGATCTCTCTGCGTGCTGCTCAAAGGAACATCCAAAGCTGTTCTGCAATGTAGCAAACCCTGAAATGTTGCTAGTGTCTCACCAGCATTTGTAGCTGTGTGCTGCTGGTCTCCAGGATCCACTGGGATCAGCTGGGTATGGGTGCAGTGTTGTCTGGTGCTGGAGTACAGAGTCCCTAGGGCTGCAGAAGAAGCTGCAGGGAACTTCCCAACATCTGGTTACTCTGGGCTAAGGTGCAGCCACAAGCTGCTCTCTCCTGGGTTGGCAAAGAAAGGCCCAGGCAGACTCAGGTAGGACTGGAGAAGGGGACAGGAGCAGGTTTGTTATCACCCTGAAATGCTGGCAGTCTATAGCATTTCTGTAAACTCTGCAAAACTAATGGAAGAGATGTTCCTGTGGCTCACCCTCTGTGGGCTCGGCCTTGGAACTGTAAACAGATGAGATCCTGCTTAAATGGATTATCTCAGTGTGAGTGGGGCTGGGYTCTCCCTGTCAGCTGGCTCTGATCCCTCCAGCAAAGCCCGATGTGTCAGTGTGACACCTGAGGGTGTGAGATTTTAAGAATAAATCTCTGTGGCTGTTTGATTTAATATATCACTGTTTTAAATCAATGGGAAACCGCAGTCAAGCACCAGGGGAATCTTGGCAGCTGGATCTTTTCCGAGCTCGGCATCTTTGCTGAGGGCTCTGCCAGCAAACAGTGGGAGTGTCAGGTGGAGTTTTGCTACTCTGTCATCTTGAGTGGAAATATGATTCAAAGAGCTTCAGTTTCACCTGTTGGCACTCTGCAGGGTTTTCTTCATTATTCCTGTGTGCAATACAGCCATGGGAGTGTGGCTGTGCTGCTCTGTTTGCTTGGTGCCAGCTCAGCCTGTGCCCTGACCATCCCTGTGCTCTCCTTGCAGGGCCCATCACTGCCAGGACAGCCAGGCCAAGGAAAGAGGATCGGCCATCGAAGTGTGGATGCTTCTGGGGAAACCACCTACAAAAAGGTTTGGGTTTGGGATGGGGGGCTGGCAGCCAAGTGTGGGTGACGGGCTGAGAGAAGTTACAGCCTAGTAGTCATTAATCTGGTTGAGATTCTCATGCAGCGCCCTTRGACAGCACAATCGTGCAAACAGCAAATCTGGAGCCCTAATTCATCTCTTGAGCTGCTGGGTAGATATGGTTAGCAGTGTGTAGTGCCTGAGATGACCCCACAGAAGTCACAGACATGACTGTATTGTAATGCAGGGGATGTTATTGTGACAATCTGTTGTGAAATGCTCACTRACTGTTCTTTTCCTTTTGCCAGACGACCTCATCCACTCTGAAGGGGGCCATCCAGCTGGGGATTGGATATACTGTGGGCAACCTGAGCTCCAAGCCAGAGAGAGATGTCCTGATGCAGGACTTCTATGTGGTGGAGAGCATCTTTTTCCCAAGGTAAAGGAGAGGGGGAAAATGAATGCATGAATTATTTCTTTTCCTCTCACTGATTTTTCAAGAGAGCTTCCATCTGTCTTTAGATCAGAGTTGGATGCTCTGAATGTTTTAARTCTGAACCATGACATACAAACAGAACAGTGAGAAGTGTTGGATTCTGCAGTACACTGGCTTGCGGGGAAGCACAGTGCAAGATGCAGTACCGTGCACTCCAGTTTGTTACCCTTCCTACGTAGTTGTCTTTCTACCTATCCATCTAGAATTTCTTCCACAAATTACACCATGTTTTAGATGGAAGAAACTCCTTCTGGGGGCTCTCTAACTGTGAATAAACAAAGCTCATAAAAGCTAYGTTCTCTGTGTAAATATATTCTTCTTGGCAAGTGGTTGTTCCTTCACTCTCTGGAATAGATTTTGGCAGCTAGTTTGAAACCTGTTTTCCTGTTGTCCTAGCACAGAAGAAAGGTGGTGGCTGTTGTTCCACAGATGTCTTTTWGCAAGGCTCAGTGCATCTGAAATGCACAGAAGCTTTAGTGTGACTGTCTATGTCTGGTGAATGGTAACAGGCCCTGCCCATGTGTGTGTTCTGTGCAGCGAAGGCAGTAACCTCACCCCAGCTCACCACTACGCCGACTTCAGGTTCAAGACCTACGCCCCCGTGGCTTTCCGCTACTTCCGAGAGCTCTTTGGGATTCGTCCAGATGATTATTTGGTATGGATACACTTTTAGATTTCTGTCTTTTCCTYGTTTATTTACYTTTACCATGAGGGTGGTGAGGCCCTGGCACAGGTTGCYCAGAGAAGCTGTGGCTGCCTCATCCCTGGGAGTGTTCCAGGACAGGTTGGACAGGGCTTGGAACAACATGGGCCAGTGGAAGGTGTCCCTGCCCATGGCAGGGGGTGGAATGAGATGGGCTTTAAGATCCCTTCCAGCCCAAAACATTCCATGATTCCAAGTCTGGGTTTGCTGAGCAGCAGCTGCCAGCATGTAGTGGAGAGAGGCTGTGACCTGCACACAGTGTGAGCTGTGTAAGCCCTGCAATGGGCTTCCCTCTCTGGTCCTTGTGGTAACAATAACTTACTGTGTTTACAAGCCAAAGGAGTTGTGTTCTGCTGGGTGTGACCCTGTAATGTCCCCTGCAGCTCTAAGGACAAAGATGGGAATTTTTTCTTGTGTACTCACTGGAGAGCTATGTGAGTGTAGTTATTTTAATCATCTTACAAAGACAGAATAAACCACAGCTTGTTCTTGTGCTCCAAAAACTCCTCAGAGCTGGAAAAGCTGGTTTTCAAATACCTTGGAGTACAAGCTGTTGGAGCTTGGAGTGCACTGGGGTTGAATTTGGGTCCCTGCCTTCATGTGACATCCTGCTCTGTGTGAACTGGGGAAGAAAACACATCCATGACTGCACACCCTCCCATTTGAGAACAGCCCTTTTTGTGTGACTTCACCTGTGGATGGGGATGATCATAGCTGAACACCTGCCAGTGAAACAAACCTGTGCCAGTGCCTGGTGGGAGGGTAATGGTGATCCCCTCTTGTGCCAGCCAAGCAGTGCTGACTGATGGATGAGTGTTCAGAACCGAGGACAGGAGTTTGCCTCAGTTGCAAAAGTCATGGCTCTGATTTGTTGTTTCTGCTTMTCCTGATTGTCTCTTGCCTGCCACAGCAGCAAATGCCTTTAATTATGCATGAGATGATTAACTTGATCAAGTCTGGGATTGTTAATCKGTGCAGAGCTGAAAGCTGTTTTCAGTACATAATGATGAGCATTTAATTTATTGCTCTGATCACATCCCTTCCATGCCCCACCTCCCTCTCCCCATCTCACCTCTGACTGGGCARCTCTGTGATCCTGCCCTCAGCACACCTGACCTCTGCAGTGGGCACCAAGCTAARAAGTGCATCTGCCTGYTTGTRTTTCTCCATTTTTATTTGCCTCTGYTGCTGGGGAGGTMCTTATTTSAGGACCTGCTGTTTGCATCCTGATGGCTAGAAATGCAGAATGCTTTGCTGTGCTTGAGCAGGGCTCAGCCCCCCTGATTGCACTGGTCTAAGACTTGTCACATGTTTCCAGCAGGATCATGGAGTGAGGTGTGGCTGTGAAAACACAGCCAGGTYRGATGGAGCTTGGAGCAAGCTAGTCTAGTGGAAGGTGTCCCTGCCCGTGGGTGAAATGAGATGGGCTTTAAGGTCATGTCCAGCTCAAACCATTCTGGGATTCTGTGAATCAGGCACTTGCTTTTGCAGGCAACAGGGGAGCACAAGGCCAGGGMAGGGTGCTGAGAACAGCCAGGGGGTTGTGTTTCCTCCAGCACAGATACGTGGTTCCCTGAGCAGATTGTGATGTCTCCTGAAATCCTCTGTGTCCATCAGCGTGCAGGGCTGTGCTCAAAGAGCCTGAATGTGATACGTGCGTGCGTGCAGGCACAATGGRAACAGATAAGATGTCATTATGAAGGCTGGATGTTCCTGAAAGCAGATAATTAGTTGGATACTGAGCAGTTGGGATGCTCTAAACTGTAATCTTAGGCTCTAATTGTAAATTGTCCATCAGTTTGGCTGCTCAGACCTCACCTATAARGAAAATAGTTCTCACTTGAGCTTTGCTACCCCTTAATCTCCCAGGGAGATGGCATGCAGGGGAAGGCCCTTGAGGGTGCAGGACTCAATCTGCAATAARTGGGGGATGAAACATCACCTTTTTTTCTTTTTCTTGACAGTATTCATTATGTAATGAGCCTCTGATCGAGCTGTCCAACCCCGGGGCCAGCGGCTCCCTTTTCTATGTCACCAGCGATGATGAATTCATCATAAAAACTGTGATGCACAAGGAAGCTGAATTCCTACAGAAGCTCCTCCCTGGATACTACATGGTGTGTATCACCCACTACCTTGGACCTAGCTTGGGTTTGTCATGGCAGCTTTTCTGCCCAGGGCATCTTCACAGGGCATGTCCTCCACCTGGGTGTCTTGTGGCCTGTCCCCATACCAGGGACAGTGTTAACAGCATGTCACAAAGCCAGTCCYAGAAGCACAAATCCTACTGATTATTTGCACACTCTGGGGGTATCATGAGGCAGATAATTGTGCCATAGTTTGGAGGCATGTTCTGGCCTCAGAATGGCTTCCCACGTGTTTCTGAGTGTGCTTTCCCCAGAACTGGTTCATTCCTCTTCACTTGGCACCATGCATCTATCTGCCCCAGCCTGGATTTGGGGATGGCTGCTGATTWCAATCATAGAATKGTTAAACAGATACCRTTGGAAAAGACCACCAAGATCATCAAGTCCAACCTTCAGCTCAGCACCATCATGGTCACCACTAAGCCTTGTCCTCTAGTGCCGTGGCCACAGCTTGTTTGAATGCTTCCAGGGATGGTGACTCCACCACTGCCCTGGGCATCCTATTCTATTCCTTTACRACGCTTTCCATGAAGAAATTTCCTCTAATATCCAACCTAAACCTCCCCTGGCACAATTTGAGTCTGTTTGCTCTCATCCTGTCCGTTGTCCCTTGAGAGCAGAGCCTGACCCCCACCTGGCTGCACCCTCTGGTTGTGGAGAGCCAGAAAGTATCCCCTGAGCCTCCTTTTCTGCAGGCAATAACACAACCMCTTTGGTTTTGTGGGGAAAGCACATCTGCTTCTGAATCTCTTCCATCTTGGTGTTTGACAGTTGCTCTTGAAGGTTGTCCTGGCTCCCTCTGGCTACAATTCCAGACTGAAGGCCCCCATGGTAGKGGCCAGCTTTGCACATGAGTCTGGCAAGGCAGGACATTGAGACCCAGAGCCTTGTACTGGGTGAAGTAAATCAGACCCAAACCTGTTGTTTTGGTGTAAAAACCAGGAGCTGTCTCCCTGCACGACCRTGCTGGAGGCTCCAGCTTTATGGATGAGGACTCTGACATCTAGTTAGAACCACCAGGGATTTGTTTGTTGTAGAGTTGGCAAGGAGAAGGTGATGAGAAACGATGCTGCTGTCCCATCTGTGTGCCAGATGCAGTGATCCTGCTGCTTCTGGAAAAATCCTTTCCTCACTCAACATTTACTGTGGAAAATTTACCCAAGAGAGGCAGGTTGTGGGTTGTCTTTGTGTTAGTGAGAGCCAGGCCAAGAAGAAATTCTTGCCCTGTGAGGGTGGTGAGGCCTTGGTGCAGATTGCTCAGAGCAGCTGTGGCTGCACCACCCCTGGGCRTACCAGGCCAGGTTGGACAGGGCTTGGAGCATCCTGTGAGAGTGGAAGGTGTCCTTGCCCATGGCAGGGGGTGGAACTGAATGGTTTACAGCCCTTCCAACCCAAATCATCCTGAGATTCTGTGAATCACTTGCTTTTACGAAGTTTTGTGAGGTGACACATACCTGGACTGGATGAGCTTTCTTGGAAAGCATTGCCTGTTGCCTAATGTGTGTAGTAAATTGGGTGTGATGTTTGGAGTGGGAATGGGGTTGCACTGTTAATCCTGCTGTCACCCTGATGAGCAGTGAGTAAACTGAACTTACCTATCTCATGCTGAGTTCTGAGTGACCTGCTGGAGCTTTCCACTGTCTCTGTGGGTTCTGTGGTGCTACCCCTGATCGCTCTGCTGCTCCTGGGAAACCACCCATGTCAAAGGAGCCAGGGAAAGGAAGCAGGGTGGTTTCATCCAGAGTTACTTTAAAACTGTTTCCATTTACYTGCCTCTATTACTTTTGGCTCTCTATTACTCTCCAAGAGGGCTCATTGCTCTGCCCAGGTGGGTGAGCTGAAGGGAATGAAATTTTAGTACACATTTCTGCTGTCTGTCAGAGCCTGACAGATCTGCCCTTCCTGCTGTGGTGTACAGAGAAGTTCTGTTTCCTTCCCAAACGTGCCCAAAGCTGAACCAGCAAATCCTGCCTGTCATGTCATTCCTAATCATTCCAYTGCCTAAAAAAAGGAGATGACAGCAGAACAGGATATCCGTGCTCTCTGGTTCACTGCTTTACAAAGCAACTCTGCAACAGGAGGAGAACATTTATGTTGTTTTGTTTAAAAAATAACCCTGTCCCTGGTTTATTCTGGGCCAGAGAATGGCTCTTGATTCTGACACTTGTGAAGAGATAAAGAAAGCTGTTATTTTTAAGCTTGAAGTTCCCACTTACTGTGTTTATTTCTCTCCCAGTTTGGTTTCCTGTTTTTAGCTGCTGTACTTGGGGAAAGCAGGGGATTTCCGGACTTGGTTATTTGCCCAGAGAGTGCTGAACATCTTAGTCCCTGTATTTTCAGGTCCTAAAGCCACCAAAATGCAGGACTTTGTCAATTGTGTACTCTGAGCTCCTGTAAAGTTCAGAAAATCTCTAGGCAAAGAATCCCTAGTCCAACTTTTCCAAGAGCTGTTGACGTGCTTTGTGGTGAACACAGCAGGAATTTTCTGCTCAAATGACTTTTCTCCATACTTTTTTCCACCCTTGCTGCAGAATCTGAACCAGAACCCCCGGACACTGCTGCCCAAGTTCTATGGACTGTACTGTGTGCAGTCTGGGGGAAAAAACATCCGCGTGGTCGTGATGAACAACATCCTGCCTCGAGTGGTGAAAATGCACCTGAAATTCGACCTCAAAGGCTCAACCTACAAACGCCGGGCATCCAAGAAGGAAAAAGAAAAGTCCAGCCCTACATACAAGGATCTGGACTTCATCCAAGACATGCCCGAGGGCCTGATGTTGGATGCAGACACCTTCAGTGCTTTGGTGAAGACGTTGCAGCGAGACTGCCTGGTAAGGAGGGGGCAGCTCAGGGAYAGGGTAAGGAGCCTCTGTGGCTCTCGAGCATGAGGAAGAGCAATGATTGAGAACCTTGCTAATCTGCTGACCCCAGAGCAGGATCAATCCTTTCACCTGCTCTTTTCCCTTAAAGCCAAGCAGCAGAGTTGTATCTCTTGGCAGCCTCTGAGGACTGAGGCTGTGTTCTTTTGCCTCGTGCATCACACTTTGGCACCCTGCTCCACTTGTAGCTGCTCTGCTGGAGAATTTTCCCAGTCATGTGCAGCAGATCCAACAGTGTTGCTTTCAAGCCTTCAGGCCTTTGGTGTAGTTGTAACTGTGGGATGGCCAAACTGTGTGCAGTCAGGCCCAGAGGTAACTGTTGGTTCAGAAACTTTCAGACACTGGCAAAGGAGTTGTTARCGGGGATGTGGACAGGATGCTCTGCTTTGATTGCTTTGATTCCMTGCTTCAGGATCTGTATTTCTGCTGCTGGCTTGATATTTTGTCTTTTTTCTTGAACTCAACATTAACCTGTAGGTATTGGAAAGTTTTAAAATCATGGACTACAGCCTCCTGCTCGGGGTTCATAACATAGACCAGCACGAGCGGGAGCAACTGTCGGAGGGAGCCCACAGCACATCGGATGAGAAACGTCCCGTGGGGCAGAAAGCCCTGTACTCCACAGCCATGGAATCCATCCARGGAGGGGCTGCCCGGGGAGAGGCCATAGACACAGATGACACGTAGGTGAAACCTGGGTTTGCCTGTGCTGGTGGTGGCTGGAGTGGGAAATCCCTAATGAGGCCCACAGGAACAGTTCAAAAGAGCAACTCTCCTGGGGTTTTTGTAGCACTGCCATTGTGGTGGGAAAGGGGGAAGCCAGGGTGGGAAATAGTTCTGTAAGGCCTCACAGCAGTSTCTCTTCTTAGGCCAGACTGTAGGCTGTCAGCTTGTGTAACAGTYTGTAAACATCCACCCATGCCCTGGGGAGGAGACACTAGCTCAGTTCTAGCTCAGCACCCAAATACTGGAGCAGAAGTAGGGATTAGCCTGTCCCTAGGAGCTTCGAGTTCTCCATCACTCCCACACCTTTGGAATCCTTGGCAGTTCCCTGAGGCCATCCCAGTGGGGTTAGCAGACAGCAGTGTGGCCAAGTGCTGGAGTCCCTGCTGGAGCTGGAGGCTGGGCATTGCCCCAAACCTGTGCTGTGCTCGATCTGGTGTTCAGCCTGGGTCCCTGGCTCTGTGGGCCAAGGAACGGTGGAGTTTGCTGCTTGCTGCTGTCTGGAACCAGCCTCTGTGGGTTTGATGGAGGGTCAGTCCTGAGAGCTGAGATAATACTGMGGTGTTTCCAGTCCTTCAAGCAGCATCAATAATTGCAGTGGCCTCTCTGGTACCCCTGTGCTTTAAAGGGCTGTGTGCTGGTGCTGATGGTTGCTGCACCTTTAGCAGGATGGCATTAGTGTGGTTGTGACTGGGAATACCCTCGTCCCTAAGGGTTTACTGCCCTAATGGCAGACAGCTCTTGCTGACCTGATCAATAAYCTGATCCCCAGAATAAAGTAGCCAGGAAAAAACTCCGTGGTGCTTTGTGGCCCAGGGAGAGCTGTGCCACMTGACATGGGTCCTGTCATGATAGTGGTGTTTGGCCATGCAGGCAGTGACCCTGGGACAAGTAGTCAGGCCAGAGCAGTCAGTGACTCCCAGGGTTGTGCACAAAGTGACCACACAGGTTTTAGGATGTGCCTGAACACTRCCACACCAGACCCCTGTAGCAGGGCTGCTGTCCCCCTTCCTCAGAGTTTGGGTGTTACAGATGCTCTGGTTGAGGCTGCACATGCTGAGGTTCTGTTTTACCTGCAGGATGGGAGGGATCCCAGCAGTGAATGGCAAAGGCGAGCGTCTCCTGCTGCACGTAGGGATCATAGATATCCTGCAGTCATACCGGTAGGTAACCTGGCAGTGTGTCTTTTCTGGCTGTTAACATCTCTTTTAATACCAAATGAAAGCTGGGAGGTGTTATCTCCTGGAGACTGTGAGGATGAGTCGATCTGGCAGGCCATGGGCTTCCATCGTGTCCTTAGAACACCTGAGGACACACAGCCCTTTGTCCAGGATGATGAGCTGCTCATAAAGAAGTAGTTTGCCATCTTAGTGTGGGAAGCATGTCTCCAGGAGTGGAAAGTGCACCTCTTCCTTCCCTTTGGTCCTCCCAGGTAGTCCTGACCTGGCTGGGAAGATGCTGAAGAAAGCTCACTCCTGGTGACATTGGCAGCTCAGGGATCTCCCCTATAGGGTATGAAAGGGAGCTTAGTACAGAGTGCATGCCTGAATGTGGATCTTTCTTCTTCTCTCCACTTCTCSTTGGAATTAGGTTCATCAAGAAGTTAGAGCACACCTGGAAGGCCCTGGTCCACGATGGGGTGAGTGCCTGTGCAGAGGCAGGAGCTGTCCAAGCCTCACAGGATTACCTGGTGCAGATTACCTGGCTATTTATAGAGCTGACCTGGCACAGCTGCAGCTGATGAAAGAAGCAGTTCCTGCCTCTCATTCCTGCACAGCAGGGTGGTGCCACTTATTCCCAGCCAGGTTTCTTGCTCACTCCAGCTCCTCATATGTTGAGCTGCCGTGCTCCCAGCTGTCCTCCCCTGCTTCTGTCTGTCCCTCTCCTCCTCCCATAACATCTCAGGTGAGCACACACTCAGGTGTGAGTGTTCCTGGGCTGTCAGGAGACCTGTGCTGTTCTCTTTGGGGACTGGCTGTTTGCACTTCAGCAAGCTCTYTGCCAGCAAATCCCTTTCCATGTTTCCCTGTTGGCTTTATTCCTGCAGCAGCCAGGTGTGTGTTTCTGAAAGAACAACCTTGGATGTGGAAACTGTTTTTCAGCATTGCATCTCTTGGCTTCCCTAAATGTGGCAAAGGAAATGTGGAGATGCCAAGTCATGGGGGCAGAATCAAATAYCAGAAGCAGAGCTTCAGTTTTACTATCTTAAACAAAAACATATGAAATGTATAGAGACCCGTGGCTAAATTTGGCTGTCTGTGTCACATGCAGAGGTATCCAGGTGTGCTTGGAATGGCAGCCAGCAAAGCCAGAAGAAATTTCATGCATGCAATCAGGCCAGTGTTTAAAAAAAGTCCAGAAAGTCTACAAAGGAATAAAATCACCAAAATCCATTATAAAATCACAGCAAGAATATAATCAAATGCAATCAGAGGCAACGCTTCAGTGTTATTTATAGCATTAATCAGTGTTTCAGTTAAGCCTTTCCATTTTAAGGCTCTGTCAGTGCTAAATGTTGGAATAAAAAAGACTGTGTTGGTTGTTGCAGAAATTCTGTCTTGAGGGATCATTTTAAAATTAAACAATTGCTTCTTGCTGTTGTAGGACACCGTGTCAGTGCACAGACCCAGCTTTTATGCAGAGAGATTCTTCAAATTCATGACAAACACAGTGTTTCGAAAGAATTCCTGTAAGTACTGAGTTCAGGGGCTGCTGTGCCATGTGGCTTTACCTCAGTATTKCTGCTGCAGCCCTCAGGGAGTCTGGGCTGGAGTCTGAGTAGGGTTTTCTACTGTGGTACAGCTAGGAGAGCTGGGGGTATTCACCTRGAGAAGGGAAGGCTCCGGAGAGMCCTTAGAGCCCCTTCCAGTTCTTAAGGGTGGCTTAGAAAAAGGAGGGGGAAGGAYTTTTTATACAGGCAAGGGGCAACAGTTTTGAGCTGGCAGAGTTAAATTAGAAGTATGGAAAAAATTCTTTACTCAAGAGKGTGGTGAGGCCCTGGCACAGGGTGCCCAGAGCAGCTGTGRCTGCCCCATCCCTGCAAGTGTCCAAGGCCAGGTTGGACAGAGCTTGCAGCAACCTGCCCTAGCACYCATGTCCCTCCCATGGAGGCAGTGGAATGAGATGGGTTTTAARGTCCCTTCTAACCCACAACATTCCRTGATACAGAGCAAAACTGAGAACTGCAAAGCCCTCAAATTGTTACAGCTTGCCTTGCTCTTGTGTAGTCTCTGCACCTAACCTGAGTTCAGTCCAGAAGGTGTTTGTATGAGGGCAGAGCCTCTSCTTGTGAAGGGAAAGATGCCTTTGGTGGTAATTTGACCTTCTGTCTTCCKCCCCCAGCTCTGAAGTCATCCCCCTCAAAGAAAGGGCGCAGTGCCTTGCTGGCTGTGAAGACGGCGGGTCCCACAGCTGCATTCTCAGCCAGCCAGCTGGCCTCYGACAAGGACGACACCCAGTACGACCTGCGGGCAGCCAGGAGTTACCCCACGCTTGATGATGAAGGTGACAGCCCCGCTCGGGGTGTTGGCTCTGTGCTTACCCACTCTTTCCTAGCAGTTCCTTAGGATCCTCCCCTGTTCTCATCAAGTTCCCCAGTGTGCACCGACTGCAGATCTCCCCTCATGGATAGCTCTTCATTGCATGTCTTGCTGTGCTTTGCAGGTGCTAAACCTAACCAGGACAGGGAAGAAGGTAAGAGTACATTGTGTTGTCATAGCACCAGCAGGTACTCGATGCAACACCTGTGCATCCAAAGACAAAATCCCTTCTTCGCAGCACAGTGGCATTCTGCAGTAAAAATGGTCGCCTGCATCACTGCTGCAATACAGCTGCTGCCAAGGGGTACCAGTAGTCATAGCCCAAAAGCCATCAGAAAGCTGYATTTTCCACCCTTTAAAAAAACAGGGGGGGAGGTGACTGGGAACTGCAGCACTCCAATGACAGTGTTTGGGCAATTATAACAGGCAGGATCTTGCTATTGGAAAACAGAGGAATGGGCTGGTTCTGTGCTGCCTTTCCTTTACTTCCATCTGGCTGGATTTGCAGCTGAGTGCTGGAGGATGGGCTCCTCCAGTGCATGGGTGTTGGACTGCTCCCTGTGCAAAGCACTGGGCAYTCAATTCATCTCTTAATTCACTTGGATATTTATCCCTGGTGATCCAAGCCTTTAATCCAGCTTTGGTCACCAGTGAGAAGTCTTYATTGGCATTCTGTTCCCTGCCTGTTGTGCTGGAAGTGGTGCTGACTGGCTCTCTCCAGAGGATGCCTTGGGAGAGGCTGTCATGTTCATGGACCCAGCTGAGTTTCCTGCCTGTCTGTGGTTTGAGTGCCCAGTCCCAGGGCGGGTGTGCGGGTTCATGGTAGAACAGCTCACACAGGGCTGCTGTAGGAGAAGTGTTGGTGTTTGACTGAATCATCTCTTCTTCCTGCCTCTCCCCTGCCCCTGCTGCGGGCCAGCAGGCAGGCCAGACCTGCTCCCTTGCACTCCTCCTTCCTTTGAAGAAGCTACCACGGCCTCCATAGCCACGACACTATCGTCAACATCCCTCTCTGTTCCCGAGCGATCCCCCTCGGAGACCTCTGAGCAGCCCAGGTACAGGTGAGGATGCTCATCCCCTGCTCCCACTGGTGTTGAGAGGCTGCCATTCCTCTCGTGCTGCTGATCCCCCGCACTCTGGAATGCTAGTGACCGATTTTAATTAAATCTCTCCTGGGAGCAAGCAGACACAGCTTTGATGGGATTAATTATTGCTGGAAGAAGTGTCAGCTGTTAAGTAGAACATCTCCCTCATGGGGTGTGGAGGTAGATTTGGGGACAGTACAGGATTTYTGGCTTAAATTGCTCCTCCAAATTCTGTTTTCTTTCCGCAGGAGGCGTACACAGTCCTCAGGGCAGGATGGCAGGTAAGAAATGGGTCTCCTATCTTCTTGCTTCATCTCTCTGCTGCACAAAGGCCTCATGTTTATCCCTGTGCAAAGGTCTCTTAGAGGGCTGAGTGGGAATTTCAGCAGCTCCAGGATTTTGGCATGGTCCTCTGCAGGATGCTGAGCTGCTTCTGCAATCAGATGATCCTCATTTCTTGCACAGAATTTTCCTTACAAGMAGATCTCTTAGTGCTTTGAAAATGCCACCATTATTTGATGGGAAAGGRAACAAGAATGTTGTCCAAATTTACCCACCCACCCAGCACCAGAGTCAAGGAATGTCATTTAAGTCCCCTGTGAGTAAGCAACCCCTGACAACAGGAACATTCCTCTTCTGTCTGCGGTCTGGGCAAGGTGGGTGGGAATTTGGGAAAGAGATTTGAYTTTGTGAGGCACTGAGCACCCTCAGTGCCCACAGAAGTAGCCTCCAGTGTTTTCAGAAATCTGTGAGCCTTTTGCCCTCCTATGGTGTCTCAGAGCCAAGGGCAAGGTACGACAGAAATGCTGTGCTGCAGAGGGGTGTCTGATTCAGAGGCTCATACCATGGAATTATTGAGCATTATTGTGGAATTATTTTGCACCAGTAAAAATGACCCCATTGCCCGTGTCAGCAGGATTTGCACGAGGAGCTAGCAGGTGCCCTGCCCTCACCTTTCAGGACATTGTGTRGGTGTAGTAGGCTTTGAAATTACATCAGAGACTCAGTCCTGGGATATGCTGTAGCCAGAGGAGCCTGACAGGCTGATGTCCTCTCTGCCTGCAGTCAGGTTTGGTGCTTGGAAGGAAAGGACTTCAGCAGATGAGGGTTTGCCCCACGTTACAGGCATCTGCCCTTGTTCCAAGCTGAGTGATTTGCTGAGTTCAGCTGACATGCACTGTGAAAAAATAATTTTTTGGGCTATTTCCTAATGAAAATACCTTTGGATGCTGCATGTTGCTGAATCCTGGTAAATTCCTGCCCCTGGAGGACAGGGACCTGCTTGCTGTGTGGAGTGTCAGGGACCTGTGAAGCACTTCATATCCTCCAGAATCCAGTGCTGGAAATTGCTGAAAATTGGAGACWTAAATCCAGGCCCCAGTGGTCGGATCCATGTGGCAAATGCAGAGACTTCATCCAAACAGCTGAGACTCCATGGTACCTCATGGAGGGAGGGAGCTGCTGTAGTATGTGACTGCTCATCCAGAAATAGGTCAGGTGAATCAGAGTGACCTGGTAGCATTCAGGGAGCTCAGTGGCTTGGTCAGAGTAGATCTGTCTGTCACAGATTTGCCAGAGCTACACCCACCCTCTGCAGGTGTGGCCATCTTTGCTATTTTTTGCCTCATTTGTCCCTTTCTGGTGCTAGTGCCTACACGTGCCCTTCCTGGGAGAGCAGGAACCTGTGTACTCTTAGAGCTCTCTGAGATCCTCTGGTAAAAACCACTGCAGACACAAATTTATTAAACCAAAAATTTACATTCCTGAGCTGAGATGGAAAAAACCTTACCCAATTTGCTCAAGAATGTGTCACGCCTCTGGTTATTCTGGTCTGGTGGGGAGGTCACTCCAGATTTGAGGTCCAGCCCTGTGAGGAGGAGAGGARTGAGTTCCTGGTGTGGAGCTGGACAGAAGTGCTGCCCAGTGGCCCCAGGTCTGGCCAGAGCCAGCCTGGAGCAGGTAGTGCTGTCAGTAAACCCAGAGCTCAGCCCTTCTCTGACACCTTCCCCTTGGCTCAGCAGGTTCCTGCTCCTCCTTCCTATGGGGACAATGGAGCCAGCCCTGCTGGCACAAGTAATTACTTTAATAGCATGAGTTATTAAAGTGAAGACTGTCAGAAACAGTTCCAGAATGTGCAGATAAATCTGATGTCAACCCTGGAGCAGCTTTAGTGTGCTGGGAGTCTTGGAAGAGGTCAGAGGCTCTGGCCTGGTGCCGGGCTAACCCTGGACACAAGTTTTCCCTGGAGGCCAGTTCTCTTTGCTCCCATGCTCCATCTGACACTGCTCATCTTTCCTGCAGCACTGGCTGTTCAACTCCTTCCWTCTTGTCCTCTTTTCCCACCTTGTTAGTCTGGAGTGCTGCAATCTTCCAGAACTTTTTCCTGGGAGTTTTGGTTATCCATACCRTCAATCCTGGGAGATCCAAGTGCTCCTTCTGAGCCAGAATCAGCCACTGAGTCTGTGTTGGGAGCCCAGTTGCACAGTAGCTGCAGCAGCAGCAGCTGTGTGCTGGGGTGGAACTGCACAAGAGGCTTGGCAGGCTCAGGACTGATTCAGGCTGACCTAAAATTGAGRGCTGTGCATAACTCATGCCCAGCTGAGCCTTTGGGCCTGTCTCTTTGGTTTCCAGGTCACATGAGGAGGCGCGGGTCGAGGAGGAGGTTCAGCAGATCAGTGTCGAGCTGGAGCCCAAGTGTGACGTTGAGATCGTAGCTCCTGAAAAAGAAGTCAAAGAGTGAGTGTTTCAGAGTGTGGCAGCTTGTGCTGGAGGCTTTGCTGGAGTGATGGCTGTTCGGTGAGGCTGACCTGCCCTGACCTGACCTTTCAGGATGTGGACAGCACAGCATCTTCAGCTCCTCTGTAATAAATCCATTTTGCTTGCTCCTGTCCTGATTGCGGTGACTAGACTTTCTTTACTCTCTGCAGAGAGGCAGCTTCTTCAGCCTGTGCCATAGCCACCATAGCATTGAAGACGGACAGCCAGACCTGGGAACTAGACAGCCAGGCCTCGGATGAAGACGATGTGCCAGTCACAGACATATACTTTGTAAGAGACCTTCTCCACCTGACCGTTGCGGTGTGATGGGAAGGGTTGGACAAGGCTGTCAGTCTCTGTTCCAGGCTGCCCTGCACCATCTTGGTGCAGAGCACCTTGAGACCTTGSTGCTGGGTGGGTTTTGGAGTGCAGGGAACTGGATTAACCCTTGGAGAACTCAAACCAGCATTTAGTGGGGCTCACACAGGTGGCACCGCTGTTGTGGATGTAGCTGKAGCTGTAGCCGTGCTGCTCTACTTCCAAGCACAAGTGCTTATCTAGGCCAGCACATTTGCTCCTGGGACAAGCCAAGGTGATGTGGTGCAACAGAGAGGTTCTTCCTTCCTCAGCCAGAGATCTTGGCTGCTTTCCTGACACAAACATGGCCTAGATGCAAGGGGAGGTGGTTGCAGAGGGTGACTTGGGCTCTGGTGAACTCCGGCTTTTCCTTTCCCTGCAGGCTGCATTAAGTGATGCAGTGGGAGTCTAGTGCTGAGCCAGGGAGTAAGTTGGTGGTTGGCAGCAGAGTGCTGTGGAGCCTGGTGCTGGTCCTCACTCAGCTCCCACAATGGCTGAGCAACTTCTGCAGAGCAGAGAGGAGTTTTTTTAGTAACACATACCTGTCCCGCGGATTCCCAGAGCAGARCTGAGTGCCTGTCCCATGAGAGCTGAGCTCTCTCTCATGCCTGGGCACACAACTCTCATTAAAAGAGGTGCCCAGCTCCTCCCTGCTCCAACCTGTTGCTGTTGGTTCTGTGGTACTGGAGATGAGCTGAGCCCATGTGATGGGCTCCTTCAGGGTAACCTAAAAATGGCAGCATTGGCCTTTTCTTGGGCTCTTGTGACTCTGCTGCAGAGCTGCTCACTCATTGCCAAGTCACTCTGAGGCTCGTGGGAGCTGTGGAAGGAATCAGCCCTGTTTTAGAGCTTGTTTGGGGTTTGATGCATGCTGTTCAAAATGCAAACAGCTCCTCTAACACYGCTGCCCCCTCCTTGCCTGTGGATGGCAGCTGTGTGCAGGCAGATCCTGCCTGCTCCCCTGGCAGGTGTCTTCTAGCGAGGGTGAGCTCCTCTTCCTCCCTGTCCCTGGGCATACAGACTCACCTCAGCTGGAAGGGCACCTCTATCCAAGAGAAAACTCTGCAGAGTGTGCTCATGGAGAGCATGACTGACTGCTCATCAGCATTTCATACTTCATCTGAGTCTGAGTTTTGCATTTAATGTGTGTTGTGTGCTGTGGAGTGTTTGTCACTGCTGGGATGAAGGGAAAAGCTGATTTGGGTTCCCATGGGCRCTCTCCTTGGAAAACCACTTGAGCTGGAGTTCAGGTGAGGCTGTACCTCTGTGCTCAGGCATCACCACAGCTGCTCCTACAGGAGGGCTCAGGGATGGTGGTGRGTGAAGGGATGGTGTATGCAGGGGAGGATTTAGCAAGTCCCAGGGGACTGTGATCTGGTCACTGAGCACTGGAAGACTGCTCCTGGAGAGCGCTTCATTCTCCTGTTCATCCCCAGRAAATAAACGTGCAGAGTGTGGCAGGGCATGGGCGCCGCTCTCCCCTGCACGGCTTTCCCACCTGCTCACCTGTTCAGGCCTGGAGTTGCCCTACCCCTTGTTTTTTGCTTTCTCTTTCATCCTCTCTTTCACATCACCCTTTTTTCCTCTGTTTCCTTTCTCACCTCACTTGCCCTGGGGCCACCCAGTTCACAGATGGGAGGTACTGGATTTACTCTCCCCGCCAGCGCAGACTCCGAACTACCTCGCGTTCCTCTGGGATTGTAAGTGACCACGCCAGCACAGCACGTAGGGGAGCAGAGCTGCAGCTTTGAAACACTGGGGCCAGCACCCCATTTCCCTGGATGGCTGGGGCTCTGGATTGAGTGGGCATTAGGAACCAGCCCAGCAGAAATGGGGGAAGCATACTGAAATTACACCAATGAGTCTTCTTTTAGGATCTGGGTGAATCATGAGCTCTGTCCTGCTTTTCTGCAGACTGGTGACACAGCTCCTACTCTGGGATGGGCCGTAGTGTCACTCAGCCCTTGGGAAAACTGGCAAAATGAGAGTAATGAGGCCCTGGCACAGGCTGCTGAGAGAGCCTGTGGTTGCCCTATCCCTGGAAACGTCCAAGGCTTGGGTGGGCTTGAAGCAACCCAGTCTAGTGGAAGGTGTCCCTGCCCATGGCAAGGGGGATGTAGTGTGATCTTCCYACCCAAACTGTTCTGTGATTCTAGGTAGCAGATCTGGCCAGAGGGACAGAGGCTCAGCTCCCTCGGCCCAGGAAGAGGGTTTTAAAGACACCATTAAGGCATTTTGAAGCTTCTAAAAATCCAGTTGCAAATAGAACTGATTTGGCTTATGGGGAACAGCTCAAAGACCAAATGAGGCAGGAGCTGCTGCTGAGTTAGGGCTGGTTTCAGCTCTCCAGCCCTCCTCAGCATCACCAGTGTGCTCCCTCCTCACTAAGGGTGTTCTGTGAGCAGGGAGGATTTTCCTTTCCAAAAGATACAAGGAGGAAGTTGAGCTTTTAGGGGCTGAATCCAGAGCTAAGATAGTTCTGGGGTTTAGTATTTCCCTTCTCAAGCTTTGGGAAAGCTGTGGTCTCCAGGGGGTGATGGCAGTAATGCTGGAGCCTCGCACAAGGGTTGGTGCAGCCTGGTGCTCCATGTGGGCACCAGGCAGGCTGCATGGGGAAGCAGRGGCAGGAATGTGCTCCTGGCCATGGCTGGTGGCATGAAGAAGGTGCTGCACCTCTCTGGGCAAACAGGCAACTCCTGCAGCTCCTGCAGCCCCTCGGCTGGGTTTGGCTGCTCTGGCACCAGGAGGGTTAATGCCAAGCACTGGATGCTCCTTTATCTCCTGCAGCTCCCTGCATGCACCCAAGCTCCTACAAGGCTCTGAAAGAGACTGGCTGGAGCATGTGGTTCAGTCAGGATGGATGAAAAAGAGGATGGGACAGGCTTGATGTGGTGGGGAGCTTTCCTGCACTTCTGGCAGAGCCCTGTGAGAAGCTCCATTAGGGGTTTCTCAACCCTGCTTTGTCCCAGTGGTCTCTACTGACGGAGCTGCAGTTACTGGAGGGTTCAGCATGTGGAGCCCAGTGCTTCAAAGCTTCTCTGGCTTCTTGTAGTTCCTTGTACATTGTAGACTGTCACACTCAGCTCCTGGGCTGGGAATATCCCAGGCTTCTTCCAAGCACCCAATCCTGTTCCTCTTCCTTTGCAAACGCCAGGTGGTATCAAAGGGGGCAGTTTCCTCTCTCTGGGAGCTCCCCTGGAGACAAAAGAGCTTGTTTGCAATGTAAGTGGGGCCCCCCTGGGAACCCTGGAAGCAGAGACCAGCCCTTGAATCTGTGTTGGCAGCAGAGTGTGTCTTGTCACACCAATGCCCAGTGCTGTGGTAACTGTCCCTCAACTCACACCTCCTTCCCCTCATTCTTTCCAGGGTCCAGTTGTGTCTTGCTTCCTGTGTTGTACTTGTTCSCATCACCCCACTGTCCCAAGATCTCAGCAATAACTGTTTCCTTTCTGTGGCCACCATCCACCATGGTCTCACCCCAGCTCCACTGCCTTCTGCAGGGAAGGAGAAAGGCACAGCAAACAAATCCAGTTTCMATATAAAAGCTCTCCCGGACATCAGTCTGTAGCATGCCCAGGGCWCTGGAAACGGGAGGGTGAGAGCTGGTAGCAGGTAGCAGGAACCCAGATCTGTCACTGCTGTTAGGTAAGTCACTTCCCAAATCTCAGTGTCTCTGGAGCCGGGGTGATGCCATGGCAGGGAGCTGAGGTTTCCCTGGCATCTCAAAAGCTCTAAAACTGTCCCTGCAAGAGGAGAGGTTGTGCCACCCCTACTGCATCTGGCGCAGGTCCCGTGTCCCGGTTGGCAGGGAGCAGGTATGTGCTGAGGATGAGGAGGGCTCCTCTGCTGAGAGCTGGCTCTGGCCTCAGTGCTCTCCCTCCAGGTGGACATCTATTCTTACTGTATTGTTTCCTACTCTTTTTATTTTCTCCTTTTATTTTTTCCTCTTCTCTCCTTTGCTCCCTGCTCTGCTGCTGCTCTCCCTGCATTCTCCCCGCCGTCTCTGGCCACTCTGGCAGCCGACAGACGAGAGGAGTTGGGTTTACTCCCCGCTCCACTATAGCGCTCAGCTCCACTCTGTCTCCGATGAGGAGAGCGATACAGTAAGTGTCCAACAGCCATGTGCCGGGTGCCCGGTGGGTCAAGGTYGGAGTTTGTGCTCCCTCTACAAGGTCATCTTGGCCTCTGGCAATGTGGGGCTCCTGCATGGCTGCAGCAGAGCCCRGCTGCCTCTCAAGCCAGCTCTGTGCTGCCAGAGCTTTGGCCTGGTCAGCAAAGGCTGTGGCTTATTCCCACTTGTTTGGTGCAGAGAAAGCTTTAGGGAGCTCAGGTTTTCCAGACATGTTCTAGCCATTGCTGGAGGATGTAGAACAGCCTCTTTGGTTGTGTTAGTTGTGCTGGGAAGTTGGCAGGATGCAGCTTTGACTGATGTGGGCACTGGTGCTCAGGGGTTGTTTCTCTTTCCCYTCATGACCAGAAAGACATTGAGGGGCTGGAGCATGTCCAGAGAAGGGAAGGGGCTCGAGCACAAGTGTGATGAATAGCTGGGGCAGCTCTGCTTGGAGAAAAGGAGGCTCCAAGGGCACCTCCTTGCTCTCCACAACGCCCTGACAGGAGGATGCAGTCAGGTGGGGCTCAAGTTCTGCTCCCAGGGAACAAGGAAGAGGACAAGAGGAAATGGCCTCAAGCTGTACCAGGGGAAGTGTAGGTTGGGTATTTTGTAAAATTTCTTCAGGGTTGTCAGGAATTGGAACAGGCTGCCCAGGGCAGTGGTGGAATCACTGTCCCTGAAGTGTTCAGACGACGTGTGGCTGTGGCATTTGGGGACATGGGCTTGTGGTGAACATGGTGGTGGTGCTGGGCTGATGGCTGGACGTCTTTTCCCACTGTAATGATGCCATGATTCTGTGACTCTCTTCTCTCTGCCTCTTGCAGTAATCTCTATGCAGACACAGAAGTCCCAGAGAGCAGTGATTCCCTCTGCAGGTCGATGTGTTCCCTTTTCGTTGATGCAGCCGTTCCAGTGGGATGGGGAAGAGCTTGCTGACACCAGTATTGCTGCACTGCAGGATCCCAGGCACTGCATTTCAGAATGGAGCAAAACTATAACCATGTATTTCTACTTACCCCAGATGTGGGCAGCAAAGAAACCACTCGCTCACCCGCAGCTCCCAGCAGAAAATTCCAGCTGGGTGTAGAGAATCCTGGGTAGTAACACAGTGTTTTCCAGACGTGCACTACCGTAGCTACCTATCCATGTGTGATACTGTGAACCTTTTTAATTTTTTATTCATGTATTTATTTCTTTTATCTTTGCACAGAGACAGCACAAATGTGCTTTTTTAAACGTTTAGTTTACTGCACTTTTTTTTTGTCTTTTTTTTTTTTTTGGGTCATGTATTTGTGCATCATAAAGGAGCATGAGACCTCACCGAAGAATGGGTAGGAGCACGTTGCTGGGGAGGGCAGGGACCGGAGTGGCTTCATGTGAGGCAGCAGCATGGTCTGACCAACTGAGGGAGTCAGGAGGTTTAAGGCTGTCCAGACTCTGCCACGGTTTTTCCAAGTGGCCCAAGGCGAGTCACTAAACCACTCTGTGCCTCGGTTTCCCCTGTACGAATGGGTGCACAGTACCCGTTTCCGTTACAGCACTTAAACCCTGGGATGAAAGGTGCTATGAAAATGAAATGTACTAAAGGCCATGGAATAGAATTGCTCCCATGTTACCATAGTCCAAAGTAGCCATGCCAATTCACTTGGATCCAAACTCTCTAGAGACTTCTCCTGTCTGTAACACTGTGCGGGGCAGCACACAGATCCTGGCGACAGTGATGTGGACTCTCAGCTCTCCCAGACGTCGTGGGCTYCGTGATGGTCTCCGCCTCCATCCTGTGCTGCACTGCTGCGCCACCCCTTCCTCTGTGCTTGGAGTCCACACTTCATCCGACCAGCCACCACCTGCTCCGGACCCGTGGGCACAGACAGATGGCAACTGGGCACCTCCTGAGCCCAGCCGTGCTGGAGGGCGAGTTCCTCACTCTGCCCAGCCCATGTGGRGCTTGTCCGGACTCTGCATCCTCCTGGAGCCACTCAGTCTCTCCACTTGCTCGTGGGTGTACCCTGGGGTCACACGTCACCTCTGCCCCTCAGCTGGGCAGGGAGACACAGGCACATCCACACGCTGGAGGCAGGAACAGGAGCCTGGCTCTGCCACGGATTCATGCCAGCACTGCTGTGCCCATGGACTCTTGGACAGAAAGCTTGGGTGACTGGGGTGTTGCCTAGGGTCACGTCCGCTGGTGGAAATCCCTGCTGCGGGTGTCTGAGAGGGTTTGCTTTGCCAGGACTGTAAGCTATAGGTGAGAGAATTYGGTGTCACGGGATAGTGTTCAGGCTCATCCATCAGCAGGACACACATCACAGCGTTGTCTGGAATCCAGCAATCCCATTCTCATCTCCCAGAGAGACAACAGGAAATCCTTAGACCAGAGGGAGACAGGCCTTGTTCATGTGCTTTATGAACCTCGCTTGAGAAAGAGGGTTGAAATCCCTTTAGTTCCCTTTACAATCTTCATTTCCTTGGGATTCCTTGTGGAGGGGTGGGGAAGCGGGACCCTGCTCTCAGGCCTCAGTCCTCACAATCTGTCTTCATAGCAGCACTCAGGAGCGGTTATGTTGGGTGCCAGAAGGTGGCTGGGCTGATGGGAAGCTCTTCTCTGTACTGTGCTGAACTTAGTGAGAATCTTCAGGAATTGATGTTTTTTCTTGCCTGGAATACAGGACCTGGACTTCCCTTCCCTGCCTGTGGATGCAGAAGGCTGTGAGTTGTGCTTCTCRGGAGCACAGTCTGGGGATTGTGCAAGTTGCTGCTGTTCATGTATCCATGTATTTACCAAATAGTCTATCAAAAGTCTCTCAAGAAATTCTCCCCTTTTCGTCGCTGCTTGGCAGCTCGTTCTCCCAGCTGCTGCCCCATCCCCCCTGTCTGTGCCCACCCAGAGGGCTCTGCAGGCTGTGGGGGGCTCAGGGGTTGGGGGGCAGTTCAGGGGTTGGTGGAGGGGAATGGGAGCGATGCAATACCTACAGCCTCACCTGCCTTTGGACTCAAGGCAAGGGGCTTCAAAAAGCTAAAAATTCARTCTCTTTTCCTCCAGCACTGTGTGTAGAATGGCCAGGGGGAGGCACATCCCTGCTGCAGCTGCTGCTGTTGGCTGCTGTGCTGGAGGAGGGGACTCTGGGGAGACCCAGGGTGGGCTCAGGGTGTTCTGATCCAGRCCCCTGCCCTGGRACCACCTTGGTAAGSGGGCTGGAGGGTTTGGCCTCATCAGGACTTCCCAGTCAGCTAAAAGCAAACATCTTTTTTGATATGGTTTAAGCATCACTGAAGATTTTATTCCTTCTCGTTTTGGGAAGTCTCTAAAGCAGCTTGGCCTCTGTGCAGGGAGTGTCCCACAGAATGAGCTTTGTGTGTGGAGCTGTGCTTGGTCCAAGAGGGGGTGAACCCARAGGTCCTGCAGCATGTTCATTGCAAGCATGGTCCTCCCTTTGGAGGTGATCCTTGTGCAATTCCATAATAATGGACCCTTTGGAGCAGGTCTGGATAAGGGAGGTGGTCCTGTAAGAGGGCTTAGAGCAGCTTTGTCAAAGGGACTGGAAGGAATCTTCCTGTTGGGAGATTCTGAAATGGAAACTGCTCCTGTCACCTCCTATTCCAGCAACTCAGTGCTGGGGAACTGCTCGGCCTCTGCTTCCCACAGAGGCTGAAAGGACMTTGGATTTTAGAGCTCATTCTTGGTCTCCCTCTGCATGGCACTGCAGGGGAGCAGCAGGAGCTCTGCAGCACAGGAATGCTGCCTGGGCAGGAACAACCCTTGCCCACGGGGAGGAGCATCCTTGGCCTCAGTGTTCCTCCAGCTGCACTTCAGCTCATCCTGSACTTGAGTTGCTGCTCTCTGCTGGGCTCTCTCGTGACGCAGCAGGTACTATCCCTGCTCTCCATCATTAAACGAAGCACCACGGGTCTTGTACTCTGAGATTTGACCCTGCAGGATGGCACCTTCCCACACCAGTCTGTGTGCCACTGCTGTCCTAGATCCTTATCGTCCCAGGCTCTGTGCGACATGCCCTGACCATTGCCTGGTGCTGGGGCTGCTGGGGAGCTCTCCCTGCCAAGTAAGGGGCTGGCAGGAGAAAATGAGCATCTTTGTCCTTGACTTTGTAGTAAGGCTCCTGTAAAGGCTTAGGGTCAAACCCAGGAGCTCGTAGAGAGACTCTGAACACGCACAGAGGGGATGCAGCTTTTGGCGGCCTTTGCCCCCTCGGCCACATGCCAGAACTGCACTTTGGGGAAATTTTTAATAAAACCAAATATTTTGGTTTTATTAAAAATAAATTATTTAAAAAAAAAAGCCAATGCACTAGCAGGTCTCGACCCAAGGCAAGCAAAGGTGTTTGCAGGGCTCCATCGCCTCCCGCACTCCCCTTCTCATTCCCAGCCACTGCTCCAGCTCTTCCCGAATGGACAAAGGAGAAGGGCAGGGCTGAGGCGTCTCGGGTCATGTCTGAGCTTTTTCTGTCCGTGTCTACACGCGCCAAGTCTGTCYTGTCCCTGTCCCCACCGTGAGCCGGTGGATATCCCCGTGGATGTCCCTGTTCGCACACGTGTCCGTGTCCGCGGTGGCTGCGGCCCGACCGTGAGGCTGATGATGGGACATTGTCCCGTCTCCGTTCTGGGGGCTCGAAGCCTGAGCGCTTTTTTTCTTTTCTCGGTTGTTTTGAGGGTTTTTCCCCTCCTTTTCCGGGGAGCCCCTTTCCCAGAGATCTGTACCCCGCTCTGATAAAGCCTTCTGCAGTCTGTGCTGTGCTCTCTGGGCTCCCCTCCTCCTCTGTGAGCGCCGCGCCAGGCACGGCCCGCTTCGGGCAAAAGGGGACAGGATCGGGACAGCACGGCCCGCTTCGGGCAAAAGGGGACAGGATCGGGACAGGCACGGCCCGCTTCGGGCAAAAGGGGACAGGATCGGGACAGGCACGGCCCGCTTCGGGCTAAAGGGGACAGGATCGGGACAGGCACGGCCCGCTTCGGGCAAAAGGGGACAGGATCGGGACAGGCACGGCCCGCTTCGGGCAAAAGGGGACAGGATCGGGACAGGCGGGGACAGGCA